AAGTCTCTCACTTATTCTACACATTGCAAAGTCTGTGGTGGCCGTGCCACTACTCCAATTGACTTCCCTGGAATTTTGTGTCTCATTTGATGAGGGGTCTTGACCCCTGGAAGTCTGTCTCTATACAGATCAAAATATATATTAATATTTTTGCAGATATCTACACTTAAGAGAAATTGAAGGCTGGACACAGGTCAAGGGTACAGTGTTAAATGCATGCAGTGTGCTCTTTGTAGGTTACACAAAACGGGCTCTTCTAAAACCAATGGCATGCACAAATGCAGTTCCACACCATCATAATCATCTCTGTATAATTAACAGGAAAATTCCACACAATTTGGGATAAACAGCAGACCAGTTACTAAGGCTTCTGCACATCAAAAACTGCTGCACATTGGAGTTCCAGTCATCTCCCTTTCTGCTGTAGCTCATTGACTCATACATACAAAAACATCCAGGTTCAACTTCTAGCAATTTCCAGTCTAGGAAAACTGGCTGAAACTCTACAAAGCTTCTGAGTAAACAGTACTGAATTAGCAGTACCAATAGTCTCACTTGGTACAGAGGAACTCTCTGTACTACAAATATCCCATGAACTTCAAAATATAGCAGGATTTAAACAGAACTAAGTTCATGAAAGTCAGACTGTATGTCACAGCAATCTTGTTGGCTTTTTTAGATTTAAAAAACAATCTTTATCTCCAACATGAAACCCATTTTTAATTTTTTCCCATATTACCTAATTTTCTCACCCCTTTGCTGAAAAAATAAGTGACAGTTCCACTTCAAGTCAGATCACAAGTGACTTCTGGATCCCAATTTCTCGGCCGAACACAACAAGTAAATTTGTTAAAAGTGCTTATGGCTCAATTACACAACTGAACAACAACTAGAGATTTGGAATCTACTCACAATCAAAGATGGAATTTAAGTTTTAAAAAGGCATCAACCTCACCAACATGATGGTCTGGTTCAAGTTTCTCTTTTTTTTACAGTAATTAGAGTTTGTTATTGCTATTTTTAGCTGTAGCAAATGCAGTCCTCATTTCCATGAACATACATATACAAAGGTGTTGTCATTGGATCATAATAATGCAAAACACCCTGAAATTTACCATGCAAATCAAACTGGGGCTACCTTAGTATTCTAATTTCGAAATGAGATATTTTACAGGAACACTGGGAATCCAGATGCCTTTGGCATCCACTTGGCAAACACTTCTTTGTAATCAAACAGCAACACCGCAAATTTGGACTCATTTGAGCAATATAAGCAAAGAATTATAGCATTATACTTCAAAGATTTGGGTTTGTTTTTTAAGTGTACTTCTTCTGGCAATAGAAAGACTAATGTCCAGCAGACTGCATCTCCTGAAATGCAATCATATAACATACAGTGCACCACTCTGATGTCAGCACCCTCTCTACAGCTAAAAGACAGAAACGTTATAAATTTGTCTTGCAACAAACATCTTTTCTTTGAGAATTTTGATCATTCTCATTCAATTTGACTGAAACAAAGTTCCATGTGAAACTAATTTCAGAAGAAAAAGAAAAAAAAGAAAAATTCTCAAGTGGACACTGCCAGAGAGGCTGGAGAGTGATTATGATATGCATAATATATTGGGGGGAAACCAAGATAAATGCAACACCTTTGGCCACTTTACTGTTAGAGTGAGCTCAATAATGTAATGCAAACAAAACAGAAAATGCAATCTGCTACAGGGCTTGCAGAACAAAAGTGGGTTTGCAAATATCTGTCACAAGGACAAAATGCATCTGAAGCAACCCCTACAATGAATCTTGAAAAATAACTATATGTGCTGCACTCCATTCAACCTACCAGAAGACGTTTTTCTGAGAAACTTTCAGAGATGGATTTTAATTCTTTTTGGTACCTTAGGAATAGAAGGCCACTTTGCAGAATTATCTTCAAAATTTCTCTGTCGGGGGGGGGGGAGGTTTCCTGTCTCCCTGTGACCACAATTACATTGCCCTGAAATGACACCAGACAGGTACACTAGGTAACAAAACAGTTGTTAAACTATTTGATGACATACTTGAAGTTGCCATCATTTGCAGTGGCAGTGAAAAAAACAAATATGCTTTCACCAAAGCAAAAACAAAACAAAGCTGTGATACAACCACGGGTGGGGCCCAACTCAAAGAAACTGCTAGAGAATTTATTCTTCTCTTGGAAAAAAATGGTAAAATGGCCTCAATTTCTCTTCTCCACAAACTGAGCAGAGCATTTCTAAAGTTGACTTCTATACAGCTGTAGTATGGTACTGTAACAGCGTTGAACCACAAATACGGGTTTCAGCATGCAAATAAAAAAGACTGCATTACTTCTACAAAAATAAAAGAGTTTTGCTACCTGTTGTGCCAGCAAATGTCTCACTCAGTTCCTGTTAACATCTGGAACTGTATATATGTTTTGCTTCCATCTGCAGTTTTTAAAAAGGGCAGACACTGCAACTACAACTTATGGCACAGCTAGTTTCAATGTTTTCTTTCTTTCTGGGCAACATTTTCAAGGTAGTATCACTTTATTCTATGATATGAAACAGCCATGTGTAATTTTATACAGCTATTGATGTCTCTTTTGTCACGATTTTGAAGTGAACTGCTTTAACTGCAATGTAGATGGGAAACAATATATCAGGAGTGTTGCCCTTCATATGTTGTATTCATCTGTTCAACCCTGACTGTTGGCCATGTTGGCACAGGCTGACAGGAGTTAACATCCAGCAACATCTGGAAGGCCACAGCTTATCTGAAGTATAGAAATAAAGGAATTTTCAATTTTAACATCTCAAAAGTTTAAGCATTCCAGGAATCAGCATACTCTAAAGACCTGGTGTTTGTGGACTGCAGGAATAATGTTTTAAAGTTGTGTCTACCCCCAGCAAAAATCAGTGACTATATACCTGCACACTAAAAATCTACTGTAACCTCATCTTTAAGACAAATCCTCAACTGAACTTCAAGCAACATACAGACTGGTCATATGCAAAGTTACAGACATCTAACCCTTCTGAAGAATTGACAGAACTCAGTGGGTTGGTGCACCTGACTGTGTAGCAAAGGGTTGGGAGTTCAAATGTGCCTTGAGGGAAAGGGTCAGCCAAGATTAGCAGAGAGAGAGAGAGAGAGAGAGAGAGTGCAACTGGTGGAATTACATGCCCAGCTACCTGTGCAGTCTTAGGCAAGCTGTACTAGAGGGTTCCTATTAGACTTGGGCTATTTATATTCACATCCATTGGGATAAAAATACAGTACTAATTGTGGCACCACAGGTGCCACAGAGGCCCTTTCCCTCCCCCCAGAACCAGCTACTCCACTCACCAGTGTTAACCACATGGCGCTCGGGTCCGTCAGTGTGTCAGTCTCAGGAGGAACCTGGCCAGCTCTTCTATGCCTCCCCGCGCAGCTGACCACTCATCAACTGAACGGGGAGACTCCCTGTCCCATCTCAGCACCAAATGGGGAGACTCCCTGTCCCATCTCAGCAGTGCGGGGAAGAGCTGGCCAGGCTCATTTCACAATTGGTACAACAATGACTACAGAGATGAGCACTGCACAGTGAACAGTGAGTTGACCAGCTAGGGGAGGGAATGGGCCTCCATAGCAACTATCGTGGTGGGATTCCTATTTCTATCCCCAGGGATACAAATACGAATAGCTCGTGTCTAGTTCCTATAAATCAGCATCAAATGGGCTTAAATCCAATTTATTCTTTGCAAGATCAAGACCCTTTCCTCATTAAGAAATTACTAGTTCCTGACTAATCTAAGTAGAATTAAATTGCATGCCTGCCCCCATTATTTCAAAAGAATGTGCTATACACAAACAATAATAAAATACAGTAATCCTATTCAAAATTGGTGAAGAATAATAATCTCAGAATTGCAGGGCTGGAATGGACTGTATGGATCATCGAGTCCAGCCGCTGTCAAGGAGAAACAGTGGGGAACTGAATTCCCGACTTCTGGCTGTCTAAGCAACTGAGCTATCCCTCAAATGCATCAATATGCATCAGGCTGTAGATAAATAAAGCAGAAGAGTGTTCTAAGCAAAACAAGAGATTCTACTTAGTAATACACACAAGGCACATTGCCAGATCTATAATTAAACATTCAGTTTTCTCCTTTATGCAAAGAGGCCAGGAAAAAGCTGAGAAAAAGCATTCTAAGAAAACATCTAGTATTTAAAATATACCTATGTGGTGTATTATCTACAAGTCACAGGCAATCATTTTTCATTTGTACTTTTATGCACACCACGGAATCTCTGACATATTTGCATAGACAGGTTAACGAGAACAGTAAAGGACAACCATGAAAAAGTGCCACTTCAAATCTTTCTATGGATCAAAATCCTGTTTCTATGAACCTTTGAAAAAATATACTTCTGTAAGAAGAAATATATGTACACTGGAGCAAGAAATACATTTTAATTAACATAGGCTTCCGCAGAAAACTTGGGGATTTTTAATTTAGTTGAAACTGCTTTATTTTTTTTTCATTGAATTTAAATATGTTTTTAAAACTCTACTTGTTTTTAATTAATTTTATTGTTTGGTGATTCGAGTCTCATTTTTAAAGAGAAAGGTAGGATATAAAATCTAATAAATAAAAGTCTTGGGCCAAAAAATGCACACATTATGTTTTAAGGCTAATTAGAAGAGAGTGTATAAACCTTGCTTCAAGATTTGCTCATGCATCTGTGAACGTTCTCACTTGTTGAAGCAAATTTTAATCCATGTTACTGCAAAACCAAACAGACTACAACCAAAATATCTGCGCCTCAAACTGATGTGCCCTTGCGTTGCTGAAGCTCATATCGGGCACTGATACAGGCAGGACAAACACCTTCATTAAAGCATTACATTGGATAGTTAACTAATAGTGGCCAGTAGCTACCCCCTTTCTTTTAATAAATATTAAAACAACCTCGAGCGCCTTTATGGACTGCAACGGGAACCCCTAAGTACATACATTTTAGTCCCTTTTTGCTTTTTATGAGCAATTGCTTATTATTATTTTAGATGACAACATGGTCTTTTGCGGGAGCAAAACATTCAGGAAAGCGGCTGCAAACAGCGTGTCACAAACGTCGGTTTCCAAGGCAACCCTCTTCCCTCCCCCATCTTCTCTTTGTGGATATGGAAAAACCAAGCCGGGTCGTGAGAAGACCGGGGGTGCCCGGCACCTGGCGCAAATAAAACCACCTCAACACACAAAAGGCCTCGCGAGGCGCAGTTTAGGATCACAGCAGCAGCAGCAAAAAAAATAGTTTACAATTTTTTTTGGCTGTTCCCATGGAAACAGGGGGGGGAACGAAAGCGCTTGTTGCATTGACACAAAAGGGAGCCAACATGTAGCGGGAAAATGCCTGTTGGCCTCGGTCCTCTCCCGCCGCCGCCACTCCCGCCCTCCGAGACAAATTGAATGAAGAAACGCGGGCTGAAGAGAAAAAAGGCATATAAGACCAAAATTGAACAATATAAGTACTTCGCAAAAAAAAAGGCTACCTGGTGGACTACATCCACACACGCTGTGCTCTCCTGCATCCACACACCGCCCTTACTAGATGCTTCTGTGCTTCCCATGAGCTACCACCCAAACAAGGGGAGGGCAGTGTGTTCGAGCCCCGCAAATCCCAAGTTCTGGAGAAGAAACGGCCGGAAGATCACACTTACCTCGTGCTGGCCACCCTTGGACATGGATGCTCTGGAAAGCAAAGCGAAATTGCCAGTTAGTTTGTATGAGCTGTAAGGCAGCCAACGCTGAGAAAGAAAGCCAGACTCCACCCTCGGGGTGGGTCCTCCTTAAAAAAAAAAGCCAGAAAAAATTAAAGACTCCTCAGCTGACGTTTCTCTCCCCACCTCATGTCACTTCCTTTCAAAGCAGCGATTCAGCGCCTGAGGGAAGGTTATTTTCCCCTCATGTAACCTGACCCTTGGCTCTCGTCGGAACCCCTCCAACTAGCCAGACGAACTCATCCTTTCCCGCCATAAACACAACGCGCCCCTTTTGCTTTCGGCTGTTATAGAAACCGACCTTAACAAAAGCCCTTTGTCAAAGCATCTTTTTTTTCTACCGCCCTTAATCCTTCTTGTTTCCTTTCATGGAAGGAAACGAAGGGAAAGGGGCCACGGTTTTGCCCTTCAGACTCAGATTGGTGTTGTCAGGCCTCGAGCACCACGTTCCCCAAATTAGATAATTATTAATTAAAAAGAAACATGACCGAGGAGTATTATCAAAGGCATCACCACCCCACAAGTATTTCCTTGGAAGCCTCATCAGCCACAAATGCTCTGATCTCAGCTGGCCTCTCTCCCTAACACTCCAACTAAGCATCATCAGCTAATGTGACTTCAAAGTGAAATACAGTAATGATACTCAAAGAACATAATATACCATTAGACTGAGCCCCTCTGGTTTATAGTTTGAAAACAATGCCAAGGACCTGCAAGTTTTCACTTAAAATTAGCGCTGCTATTAGGCAGAGTAAGCAGCTTAGGTCCTCCTCAGAAATGGCAGGAAACTGAGCTGCACTCCCTCTTAATGGTCTCCTGACTTCAGGGGCATCAAAGGACACTGTCCAGTCACCAGTGTAGAGAAAAATTCAAGTGCCAATCTAGACTTGCTTTTATATATGGAATGGGAAGGAGCACCACCTTGCTTTTCAGGCAGAAAAAATGGCTCAGGCATCCTAATGTATACTTGTGCTTTAAAACAAGAGGACGAGGCTCAAGATACCTGAAGAGAGAGAACCAAAATTTGAGAGAGGGGAGGAGAAAGAGGATATTGTAGCAGCCAGTGGCAGAATCATCTTCCTTCCATCCAGGAACTTTTAAAGAGACGTACATGAGGCAAAAGGCCAGAGCTTCATACTACGTATAAGGGATGATTCACACATGGAGGGGCCCACATCAACCCCAACATTGCTGCTAATTTTCTTTCAGAATCTCCTTAGTGCCCTGCCTGAAGTCATCACCGTAGTTACAGAAACCGGCCACCCGGAGTCTCTATTTGCTTTACTTGTACAGTTGAGGGTTACCAGTTTTTCTTAACTCTCATTGACATGGTTTTTAAAGCCCTTCTATGGTTATAATTGGCCACAGAACCAGGAATGGATACAATAGGGCCTCTTCCTCCTACCTGCTGGTTTACCTTGAGGTAACAAAAAAGAATATAGTATGGCATTTGAAAACCTCAGCTGGGTGATCTAGACAGGAAGTGGGATGGGGGAGCATTTAGGGCTGGGTGGCTTTGGCCAGCAGCTCAGCGGGCAGGTAGCAGCCCTCCTGAGGCAGCAGCCGCCTCCATACTCAGCCTTCCCCTCGGGTAACCATTGGGTTTGCTTGGATCGGAGCGAGTGCCAGGGTTCCCATGGGCTCCTTTGTCCCAAGGGCTTGCCTTCACCTTCCAGATAGTTGGTGAGGGTAGGGAGGGCGTTCACTATCATCTGTATTTTTCAGCATGGGGGAGGGGAATTGGAACCACATCCTCCACAGATATGGGGGTCCTACTGTACTACCAGCAGACAGAAAGAGACCAATTGCCTCTCTTATCTGAAGAAAATATTAGTTAGAACTAGGAAAATAGTTTTAATTGGATTAAAACAAATTTATCTGGGCAATATCAGCAAGAGAGTATGACCATTCCAAGGAGAGAAGTGCAGACAGAAAAAACAAGAGTTGTATCTGTGCTGTGCTTCAGCCTAAGAAGGAGAAATAGATATTAGAGAGAAGGGGGAAAATGGAGAATCTAGGTCTGGACAAGGAAGGAAAAACAGATGTAGTTTATTTTAGTTAGTGGTGATTTTGATAAATGCCTTTTATGAAATTGACATTATGTTGGATCAGATGACTGGGGATTCAAATGAGTGGCTCCTTCCTTCCTTCCTTTGACACTCATATACTGTACTTCATCTTTGCCTTCTTTGGCAAGTTTCTTTTCTTTCGGCCTCATGTGAAAGTATTTTGTTGCAATACTAAATACAGGATTGTTCACACAGATATCCATTTTATGACTAGTCCTATCCATGGCACCTTCTCAAAATTCCAAACATACTTATAGACCCAAAAAATGGAGACCCCACATACATATTAATGTGATTGTTGTTTACTTTCTTTTAATGTTTTAAAAGCATATTGTTGGGTTCCAGAAAGCCCACCCCCTCTTTTATTTCCATTTTTACCTCAACATTATCAGATAACAACTCAGTCTGTTTCTTAGCAGGTTTATTTAACACAACAGGAACAACCTCGTTTTCTTTGTTAACACAACTAAAATTCAAAGTCTTGGGATCCAATCCTCTGTAATGTCATTTCCAGTATTCTTATCACCAGTTCTTATCAAACAGGCAACAACAGATTATCAACAAAAGGAATAGAAAACATTCCTCCAAGTACATAAGATCTCATTTGTGGAATATCCTGTTTTGGGTTCCCAGATTCTTATTCTCATATCTTTTTGGAGTTTGGGTGGGAATTGGGCCATTCCAGGATTGTTCCCAGGGGAAGTTTGACATTTATTTTCCTGACGATTGACTTCTCAGGCAAATCATTCTCTTTCCTTCCACTTTGTTTCCCTATCTCCCCAGTATGGAGTTTTCTGTACCTGTCCTTCTTTCCACTCCTGCTCAGCTAGCTCTTTGGGTATCTTTACGGTTATCCATGTCCTTATCCAAGGATCTTCTGTGGAACTGGAAGAACATTGTTAGTTGTGACTATTGTACTGTACAGACATAAAACAATTTCTATTATGCTGCAATCATTTTCCCTAAGGAAGTGCGATGAAAATAAGGTTTCTTAAATTGGAAAAAATGTGAAGGAAAATAAAAAAGCTTGTAAACAGCAGTCCACACTATATTAATGTCCTAGGTTATAAGTAAGATAAAATTAACACAGTGTGGAGAAATATTTTCAGAGCTATACATTTGAGGTAGTGAAGTACTGGAAGGAAAGAACTGAAGTGTATTCTTCCTGTTATTTTTTTTTCTTGCAGAGAAAAAAAGTGGCAACTATATTTTGGAAACACTACACAGTAGAAATTGCCTTGACATTATGGAACTTATTGCCAGGTTTGATCTGCTTCTTGAGCTAAATGTGAAAAATCATGGAAATGATTTTTCCATGATTGAAGAGGAAAGTCTTGTTTTATACATTTCCTCACAATCACAGGGAAGTCATGTCATCGTGATAGCAGGGATTTCCTGTAGTTAAAGACTTCATTCTCCCATTCCAAGGCACTTATAGGTTCCCAATGATAAAAGGGATTACAGGTCAGTCATGGTAGTCTCTTTATAGACATAGGAAATGTTTAATTTTTTTAAGTCCTGCTTGATGACATCATCAGCCTTATGCAGAATAACTTAGGTGAATGGGATCTCAGCCAATATATTTTGCATGAGACAATCTAAATGTATAGTCAGAGATGAATATTTTGTATCACAAACAATTGCTGTACTTCTACCTACCAGATGCTAGGGATTAATAAGGTCAAAATTACCAGAAGAGTCATATGCCATTTGCATACATCTGAGTAAGGCCCTAACCACTGTGAGTAGTCAAAATGTTGAACTATCTACATTAATGTTAAGGTTCATAACAATTATTTATCTTGTATATAACCTAAAACAATCATATTGAATCTAGCACTAAGTAAAAATAAAAAGGTTGATAAATAGGTTCATGTCCAGCACACCTGATCTGCTGCCGCCATACATAATCTTCTTTAACATTTAGAGAGGTAGTGTGATAGAGTGGTTATAGTGTCAAATTAAGGTCTGATTAGACATTAAGAAAAATATGTGTGCCGTAAATCAACTAATTTTGCCTCCTATAATGGGATTCCTTCAAAGTTATATGCCTAAATAATCAGATCTGGGAATAAAGGCCATGTTTCCTTTCCATTGACCAATTAGATTAAAAGGCTGAAGCAATGTACTCCAAATGGAAAATACCCAAACTAGGGCAATAATGTGGTACTAAAAATGTTTATTTTCACCACTTCAAGAAAAATATAATCGTTAAAACAAAAATCATGCTAAAGGTGTCACCTACTTTGATCATAGGACAACACAGATCCAGATTTAAACCCCTACTCAGATATGAAGGTCATTGTTTCACCCCAATCTACCTTACAGGATTGTTTCAAAGATAAAATAGACAAGAGAGAGTGGTGTAGTTCACCCTAAAATCTTTAAAAGAAGGGTGAAATAAGTACATAAATTCTCTGGAATAGAAGTCTTTTAACACTTGCATAGTAATACCTTGTTATGAATGAAGCACAAGATCAAATCATTAAAGAAGTTAAAGATTTATGTCAATTTCAGAGCTTATACAATCATGTCTATTCAGCCAAAAGGCTAATGACCCTAGTAATATAGCAGCTTCCTTGGGAGACAAGAAAGAAACATCCAGTTCATCATTTATCATTCATAGTGAATAAGCAAGATTAGGATAAGTGACTGTGATATTAATTCATTCATTGAGAATGAAGTGCAATGGGGAATATAGATGATGGACAGAGATGTCTTCTTGATGAATTTTGACTAGGGATGTATGAAAATTTTGTTTCAGCTTGTTCATCATGTACTCCAATTCACAATTCTTTATATTTAAGATGGAAAAAAACTTGAGGATTTTTTTTAAACAATTAAAGAGGAAGAGAAGTTTAAAAAGAATGATTAATCTACAGTATCTAGGCACTGGGCTTTGAATGCTTAAGTCTTCTTAGTCTAGGCTTGAATCTATATATTTAGTCACATTAATACTAAAGTAGGCTTGTCAATTCTTTTTTTTCTAAGAACATCTGTAGGACAAGTAGAACATGGTTCTTTCTTGCTGAGTACATCTGTACTTGCCTGATTTGGGCATTATAAATAGGAGATACTTTTATTTCAGTTCATTTCTGAAAAATTCACCAAAATTCACTCTCTTTATATTTGAGATAGAGAGACCTTGAGGTTTAAAAAATCTGGCTGTGTGAGAAAAAGAGAAATTGATAAGGGTCCCCTCACCCCCAATATTTAATTTTGATGTAGACTATACATGTGAAGTCAAAATGTTTGCCGTCATTGGCTGGCTGGCTGACGTAGGGTATGAAAAAATTTGTGAATGGACAGAAAAAAGAACGAGCTAGGACAAGGACTTATGTGAAATTTTTAAAAATAATATTTTGGCTTCAGTCCTGACTGTGTTACAAGACATTTGAAGTCTGAAGCAGGTGAGGCAAAGGATTACTCTCTGACATGCTGGAGAATGGCCAAAGTGAGCAGACATTACAGAAATTGATAGAACCACTAGTCTGACTCAGTACAATGCAATTTTCTATGCTGCTCATCTTTCTTCTAAGGGACGTGGTGGCGCTGTCGGCTAAACCGCAGAAGCCTGTGCTGCAGGGTCAGAAGACCAGCAGTCGTAAGTTCGAATCCACGTGACGGAATGAGCA